CGCCCGCCCGCCCGCCTGCTCACGTGATACCATAATACGTCCCCGTCTTCGACGGGCGTATAAAAATTGTTGACGGACGGACAACGGACGCCACGGTATGGCATAAGCTCACCTTGGTCCTTCGGACCCGGTGAGCTAATAAAGTTACGGAAAATATTGTGAGAATAACAATGTACACCATTTCAGCTGTAAATGTGCATTTGGAAAAGCTAATGACGATAGGATTGTTTAAAAAAAATCTACGTAGTTTTAAGGTTCATTGTTTTCCTCCACACAAAACTTCTATTTGTTTTCGTTTGTCACAGGCGATCGTTGATCACATGGTGTTTAGTTGAGTATTTTAAATGGAGAAATATATAAGGTAGTAGTATATAGATGATAAATAGTTTATCATACAGTATTTTCAGTGTTTGTTGTTCAAACAGTTTTCTCATCGCTCGCACGTAGATAAAATCTTGTGTCCACCTGCGTGCCGGCTTCTTGATTTTATCCATGTGCTCGCAATGAGAAAATTGTTCTCACGACTAACACTGACAATACAGTGTGATAATCTAAAAGACTTTGCAATGTGAAGAAGCTCAAACCCTGCAGTTGACATGTTTTCTTCATTTATTTATATTTTCAAACATTCATATTTCCAACAACTACTATTCTGTAAAATTCATGGTAATATGTGATTTTTATAGAATATTTCTTTTGAAAAAGGACTTAAACAAGAGGCCCAGAGGGCCTGTATCGCTCACCTGTTTCTTTTGTTACATGCAACTGACATAAAGGTAACTTAAGACCAAATTTGGTAACTAGAACACAAGACATTTTAACATCTCTTAAACGGTTCTGAAGATATTGTTGTTTGAAACTTGAAATTTTAATGTTAATGTAATGTCATATTGACCTTTGACTCCCGACTTGCACTTAAAGTTGACCTTTGACCTCATTACTGTAATAAAGAAAACAATTCACACAGCTGGTCTACATAACATACCCAAGTATCATGACTCTAGTCCAAATGGTTCTTAGGATATTGTTGTTTGAAGTTTTTAACATAATTGACACCAGTGACCATGGAAGTAGGTCAAGGTAATTTTAATGAGGAAAATATATATCACACTTTATCCCAGGTACCTACTGGCCAAATATCATGACCCTGAGCCTTATGGAAATTGAAAAGAAGATTGTTAAAGCCTTTGACTCATGTTGACCTTTGACCACAACTTGCACTTAAAGTTGACCTTTGACCTCATTACTGTAATAAAGAAAACAATTCACACAGCTGGTCTACATAACATACCCAAGTATCATGACTCTAGTTCAAATGGTTCTTAGGATATTGTTGTTAGAAGTTTTTACATATTTAACCGCTGTGACCTTGAAAGTAGGTCAAAGTCATTTTAATGAGGACACTTTATAGCACTCCATCCTAGGTACCTACTGGCCAAATATCATGACCCTGGGCCTAATGGAACTTGAGAAGAAGATTGTTAACGATTTTAACCAAAATTGACATTTGAACCCCCAACTAGCATTTAAAATTGACATTTGACCTCATAACTGTAACTGAGAAAAATATTCGCACTGCTGGTCTACATAACATACCCAAGTATCATGACTCTAGTTCAAATGGTTCTTAGGATATTGTTGTTTGAAAATATTCACATATTTGACCGCTGTGACCTTGAATGTAGGTCAAGGTCATTTTAATGAGGAAACTTTATAGCACTCCATCCCATGTACCTACTGGCCAAATAGCATGACCCTAGGTCTTACAGTTCTTCAGAAGAAATCGTTCAAAAGAAAAAGTTGACAAACGGACGACGGACTATGGACGCCGGACGCCGCAGTACGGCATAAGCTCACATGGCCCTTCGGGCCAGGTGAGCTAACAAAAAAATATAGCATGACTTGTTGGTACCCTTAACCTTAGTTCTGGTAGAACTGCCAAATTACTTCATCCAACCAGAGGCCATGACAGCCATTTTAATGTTTAAATCAACCAAAACATTTTTAACTTTGTGCTTGGTGAAATAAAAACTTGAAATTAATTTTGAAAATTTCCCTTAAGTACACTACTTTGTTAATCTTTAAACCGATATAATAACAAGTATCAGAAAAGTTGATAATTGTCCACACTAAAATCAATATTGCTGCATATTTAGTGTATCTTGGCTATATTAATGGCTGTTACCACAATAATACACAAGCTAGTTACACACAGTGGAGGGACACTCCTTACACAGCTAGTAATATAAGTGTGTGCCCTGGTCAGCACTATAACACCCACAAATTCACCTAATCAGTCTTTCTTCAAAATGTAAATAATATTTAATGTTGTGGTACAAATAAAATGCTAAAAAGAGAACTATACAAACATGTTAAAAGTAAGCTTGTGAAATCAAGGTGTGGATAAAAGTGGCGGGCAATAACAGGAAAACCACAAAAATCTGATTTGGATACGGACTATACATGTGGACACATTGTGGGGCTGTGAGTAAGGCTTTGTGTCTTCAACAGTTGGTGAGCAAATCTGGGATTCAAAATTACTATCAATTTGTAATTTTCTGCTTCACTAAATCCATTGGAATCTCGAAAAGTGACCTTACTGCAGGATGAGCAGTTTCACTGGCACTTATTACGTGAATCTCTTCATTTTTTCTGAAACATTTTTGAATGTGGATAAGAGTGTGGTATAGGTGGCCCCCGTGTGGTGACTGTATATAGAGGGAGCTGGGTAGGACTCTCAGCTCCTAGTCTACTTATATACAACCACAGCTACAGAGGCTGACTGTGTCACTGGGTACACTGTTTTATACAAGGATCGTACTGTGGTCAGTGCATCCCTCTAACTCGGGATTTATACTTCTTACCTAAGGGAGCCGCACTTTGAATACCTACCTCTGTCACTCGTTACAGGTAAGTAAATTACTAATAAAGTTAAAGTTAAGAGAGAGAAAATGCATCACCTCTGTTCTTTGTGCAGTGTTCATTAACGTACCATAAGTCACTATAAATAAACCATAACATCACTCTTCTGTTAGATAGTCATAACATATCTCTACACTAATATGCTGTAAGTAACTATGAATAAATCATAGCACACTCTCATGTTCAAAATCATAGCATACATCAAAATGGTTTCATGCTAAAAAATTCTAAAATTTCAACAAAATGACATTTCTTCCAATCATAACTGGATCAGAAGGGAGTCAGAATTAAAAGGAAGAAGATGAGGAAACCCCACTGTTTTGATACAAGCAATGGGACTTATATATAAATCTACTTTGTAGCGTGGTATCAATGTTTTATTTTAAAAAAAACAATTTTAAGATGATAAAATTGAATGAATACTAAACAATGAGAACAATACATAAATATTGAGATTATCAATCTTAATTTTATAATGATTATAAAAGTGCATAGTTATGCTCTTGACAACAAAGGCCTTCGGCTACGGCGAAATAATAGTTATAATAGTTTAGTGTATTTCACTCAAGCGTCACACATTAATTCATAACAAAAAATCTGGTTAAATCAATCAATCTCTGACAAGATATTGACCTAGGAGAAAAACTTGTATACTTTACGTAATACCTACCATTACAATGACATGTTTGTGTATGAAATGTTACAAATGATAGTTTAAGTGTAGTTTAATTGTTCATGGTATAATTATACATTATTTGAATCAGTTTAAATCTTCTCACAGCAGATATGTTATATTAAACTTTCGAACATGATTTAAATTTAAAACAAGCCCCGTAAATCACTAGACTTTAATGTATCCTATATTTTATCAACAAGCACTTCAAAAGTAGTGAACTATTGTCTGGAAAAAACTACAAAATTATTCAGGTAATATAACAAGTAAAGATTTGCCCTCTATCTATTACATTGTGTGAAAATTGACATTGCCTTGTGTTATGGTAAATCAGTGTCAGTATCGGTTACAGTAAGATAAATCTAGTTCTAGCTAGCAATGCTCTTACACTGTATTACACACTCATTTCTTAATTCAAGTGACATTCTCAATTTATCTAAATTCCAGTGACATTCTCAATTTATCTAAATTCAAGTGACATTCTCAATTTATCTAGATTCAAGTGATATTCTCAATTTATCTAAATTCAAGTGATATTCTCAATTTTCAAATTTCAAGTGATTTTAATTTTCAAATTTCAAGTGATTTTTCTTAATTTCCAGTGACATTCTCAATTTATCTAAATTCAAGTGATGTTCTCAATTTATCTAAATTCAAGTGATATTCTGAAGTTATCTAAATTCAAGTGATATTCTCAATTTTCTAAATTCAAGTGATTTTCTAAAAAAAAATCTACATTCCAGAGATATTCTCAATTTATCTGAATTCAAGTGATATTCTGAAGTTATCTAAATTCAAGTGATATTCTCAATTTTCTAAATTCAAGTGATTTTCAATTTTTTTCTAAATTCCTGAGATATTCTCAATTTATCTAAATTCAAGTGATTTTCTATTCTTTATCTACATTCCAGAGATATTCTCAATTTATCTAAATTCAAGTGATATTCTCAATTTTCCTAAATTCAAGTGATATTCTCAATTTTCCTAAATTCAAGTGATATTCTCAATTTTTCTATAAAATAAGAGATATTCTCAATTTTTCTAAAGTCAAGTGATATTCTCAAGTATTCGTTTTTATACACTGGGTCTTGTTTTACAATTTTCATTATATCTAAAAACAATTAGACAACAATATACCTATCCTCATGCGATTCTAAATCTGATATTACTGTGTTATTTATTTACTACATCACTAGGAACGGGGATAAATTGTTACTAGTGATAACCTCTGAGCTGTGGTAACATAACCATGTTAAGAACTTTGTCCACACATCCTGGTCTGTGATCAAACTTTAATAACTCGGAATTAACTTAGATTTTGTCTGTCCTGGCTCATTTGAAGGCAAATGTATTCAATCACACATTACATGCTTTATTTTTCTATGCAAAAGATACTTGTTACATTCCAATGGTTACTAATATTTTCATCCATTTCTTTACGATATTTATGGAACATATTTACAAGAAAAGAACATGAAGTTGCTTGCAACTCAGTATCAATACAGGTGATATTACAATACTGAATTCTTCTCTACAATATACCACATAGCTTCATGTTTATTTTTTAAAGTATTGCATGAAATAAATCTTTAAACTCCATTTCTAGTTGTCTGAATTATATGTGGTATTTTATTACCTTCTAATTTTATTACTCAAATATATAATGGATGTATTGAGTGTTGTGGCTAGTACATGTGATCAAAACAATAAAATGATAATATATTACATAACCGATGCCTGAATTTCCACAGGATTTCTGTCATAAAGCATTATACAAAATTTACATAGTACTTACAACTCAACTGTGTGGTATAAAAATCAAATATTTAAAGAAATGCACATATAGAAGTTATTCACAAACTGATCTGAATAGCTATCACAATAATACATATATGTTAGGAGAAAGAGGCATACAGAATTGCTGACTCAGCATTTTCAGTAGATGAATCAGAAATGAGAAAACCACAAAAATAGAGAATACATTGGTATGGCACCCAGTATGGTAGTTATAGATAACATACCACATTGATATTTACCAGCTTGGTTGTTATAGTATACCACATTAATTGGTATGGCACCCAGTATGGTAGTTATAGATAACATACCACATTGATATTGACCAGCTTGGTTGTTATAGTAT